ATCTACCTATGTAAAATTTTTCTAATGTATTTATCATCTGCATAAAAAAAATTTTAGCAAAAATGCAACGGGGGTGGTTACGTTTAGTAGTTTAGAAGGGTAAGTTGAAAATACAAATAGGATCCAAATGTGCCCTATTATGAGTTAAACATATTCCCCAAATTTCATTTTCCTAGCGTTTATGGTTTTTGAGAAAAAGACATTAAACCAAAATTTTCCGCCATTTTTGGAGGGGTGTAGCTCCTTAGGGGAGCCGAAGTCGCCCATTGTTTATATATCAAAGTACCCTTAAAATTCACTAAAGAATCACCCCTTGAAGTTTGTTGCAGTCATTCAGATACACCCTGTGTATATTTCGCCCCGATTTCCAACCCTTATAACTCGCCCCAGGGGCTTTATTAGCACGTATAAAAAAATACGTATCTAAACCTTATTTTTGGCTATACTATCGCTGTACCAAATTTCAACAAAATCGGCGAGGGACAGTTCTGATACTTCCCTTATAAGTAATAAAATATGGGGGGTGCCATTTAAAAAAATGAAGTTATGGTATTTTCAAATTTTGAAAAGTTAACGTGCCGTAGTAAAGAGACCAAACGTTCTAGACAGCCATGCTCGGCACCATAACATATTCCATCATGTTGCTTAAGCATGTTATGAATCCTAAATTGATATCCCAAAAATCGTGTTTTCTGATTTTTTGGAGAAATGTCTGCTGGAGCAGATTTTTCTAGAAAAATTCGAATAACTCGAGAACGGCCGAATCAAATTGCAAAAAGTAAAGTTATTTATAAACCTTGAAAACAGACAAATCCAAATATGTAAAAATATACAGGGTGTTCCATTTAAAAAAATAAAGTAGGTGGCGACTTCCGATATAACCGGAAGTGCTAGAAATCTAAAAATATTTTAGTCGAAGAGAACGCAATTAATAATACTTAAATCTGAATTTTCAAATATTTTGTTTTGGCCAGAACCCTGTAAAGTTCTAATGGACGGTCGTCGTGGATGACCTGTATAAGATAATTTTTTCGGCAGGTCTGTTTTAACTTTATTTGAGTACGCCGCTTTTATGTGTTTTTCTTGTTTTCCCCAAGATTTTTCAAATTCTTTTGCAGACTATCGTGCGCGCGTTGCACATTTAGTTCTTTTAATATTATATCTGACTTCGTTGTATTCACTTAGAACATAATTTCTGACGAATAAATCTGAACGGTTTGTCTCTTAATTCATTTTGATTGAAATGTTGAACCACTTTTCAACCAAATTGTTGTGTTGTATTGGTTTTAATAAACTTGTCCACATCGGCATATATGGAACATGCTGTAAAAACGTCTGTCCAAATTGACTTGAAAAATAATTATTTTTCTTTAACTGTTGTTCATTTTTATACTGATTGCAATTGTCCTGAATTTTCTTAAAGTAGTATATTATTTCTTTTTCGTACTCTCCAGCGACTTACAGCCAATACATTTCATGTTACCAAAAAATGTTTCTGTATGTATGCCCGTGTTTTGTTAATCCCTTCATCGAAGACTCACATTTCAAGACCACCACTTTTTTCTTTAAGAAGAATACGATGCCGTTAAAATTAGATCGATTAGAAACCTCGAGCAGGCCAAAATTTGCGATTGTTTGAAGAAACACGATTTTCCCGGAATATAAGAAATGGTTAAGAAAATTTTCTTTTTGATTCTGAAGCAAGAAGCTACCGGGAATATAATGCCGTTGAAATGGGATCGATTAGAAACCCCGAACAGGCCGACATTTGCTTATGTTTGAAGAAAATTGATTTTTCCGGAATATAAGAAATGGTTAGGAAAAGTTTCTTTTCTAATCTGAAGCAAGAGGAACACCAGGAACCTACCAGGAATACGATGCCGTTGAAATTAGATCGATTAAATACCCCGATCACGTTTTTTTTTCAGTTTAAAATCTATGACTGAAATCTATGGCCAACTTCACACGCGTTTAATATTATCTATTTTATATATCAGTATATTTAAATGTAAATGTTAGAATCCAACTCGGGTTATTCTCCAAGTTGCTCTATTCCATGTTCATAATCTCGGGATATTCCCAAAGTTGTTTATATGATGTAGAAATCAAGAAAGGTAGTTCTAGTTTTAATTGTTATTCAGCGTTAGATTGTTGTATATTTTTATTAAACTAAAAGTAGAACTAACACTAGACCTAGAACTTGAAACATTTGGGTTTAGCCGTACGTCTCGTATAACGGCTAGATCCGAATGTTTCCAGTTCTTGGTCTAGTGTAACTTCTAATGCTAGTGTTAGTTTTAGTTGTTTTTCAGTGCTAGATTGCTATACATATATTTTTCATTGACCTAAAATTAGAACTAACACTAAACCCCAATGTTTCTAAGTGTAGTGTTAGTTCTACTTTTAGTTCAATATAAATATACAACAATCTAGTACTGAACAACAACTAAAACTAGAACTAACACTACACTTAGAACTAGAAACATTCGGGTTTAGACGTACGTCTCTTAAGACGGCTAAACCCGAATTATGTCGGATTTTCATTAGTAAAATTAGTGGTAGAGAGTTAGCGTACTTTTAAGGAGGACGGCAAGTGGTAACTGGTGTGAAGTTCTCCATAAACTTATAACATTAATAATTCCGTAACCAATACGATTTGGGTCACCAAATTTCACACACAGGTCGCTCTTACCCTCAAGAACAGCTTACAACCCCCATTTGATAAAAAAAAAATTTTTTTAAGTTTCAGAGCCATATGTCATAACAGGAAACACGCATTGATTGAAAGCCTTTCTTGGCCTTTTCTCTTGAAGATGTTTCTAAGCTTCCCGTAGGCTGCCCATACGAGTGTGATCCTTCTGTTTAGTTCGCTTGATTGATTATCTCTCGATACACGAACCTCATAGTTAAAATATACATAGCTGTCAACCCTCTCAATCTCATTATCTCAAATGTTGATGTTAGAGCTGGGAACAAGATTTATCATAAATTTTGATTATTATTACTATCCGATATAAGAACTATATCGTCCGCGTAGCGCATATTACTTAAGCATTTGCAATCAATGTTTTGCCTTTTTGGGTCCAATCCAGTTGTTTAAATGCACCCTGAGGACATAACTGGAAACACGCAGAAGATGTCTCTAAGTTTCCCGTAGGCTGCCCATACGAGCGTGATCCTTCTGTTTAGTTCGCTTGTTTGATTATCTCTCGATACACGAACCTCATAACCAAGATATACATAGCTGTGCAACCTCAATCTCATTATCTCCAATGTTGATGTTAGGGCTGGGAATAAGATTTATCATAAATTTTGATTTCTCCTCGTTGATATTTTGCCCGACTCTTGCACACATCTCCTTTAAGTCGTTCACCATTAGTTTTATCTCTCCAAGGCTATCCGATATAAGAACTATATCGTCCGCGTAGCGCAAATTATTTAAGCATTTGCAATCAATGTTTATGCCTTTTTGGGTCCAATCCAGTTATTTGCACTCTGAGGACTGTAATGAACAATTTGGGTTCAACAGTGTCTCGCCTTGTTTTACTCACAATCAGTACTTTACTACTTTTACTCTCTTCAGTACTTTTATGCAATTTTACCGTCATTGTAGCTTTCTTGTAGCTGTTATAAATAAGTTTGTTATATCGATAAGCGACTCTGCATTCTTGAAGTGCTTGCAAAACTGCCATCAACTCAATTTAAATTAAATTTTATAAATACCTCTAGGAAGTCATCCAGGAAGTTTACCCTTGAAAATAAATACCCGGGTATTTAACAACACTGAATTCAACCCTAAAGTCCGCGCCGCACTATATACGTATGGATTCTAACAACGAATTTTTTTTCTCGAAAACCGTTAAGGGTTACGGTGTTTTAATGGTCGATTTAAATTGCTAAAGTCATCCTCTAACTCTAAATCATCCTAAAATTTCATCAATTTCAGAAGTGCCCATCGGGGTCAAATTCACCCCTAAAGTCCCATCCGCGGTTTATAAGAATGATTTTTTTTTCTCAAAAACCGTTAAGGGTTACAGTGTTTTGAAAATTGATAAAAATACTTAGAACTGTGTTCTATTATGTGGTAGAATTTGGTTTAATTCGAAGGTGCCCATCAGGGCGAAAACATCCCTTTTTCGGGGGTGGGGGTTGAACATTTTTTTTTACCAAATGGCGGTTGTGAGCTTTTCTTCAGGGTGAGAGTGACCTGTGTGTGAAATTTGGTTACCCAAATCATATTGATTACGGAATTATTAATGTTTTAAGTTTAGGGCTGTGATTTATAGATAACTTCACACCAGTTTAAAAATATTCATTCAATCAGTTTACAGTGCAAATTAAAAATTTTTCATATAACGGATATTTAGCTATAACAAACACTTCCCTCCCCGTTCTATCTAGGTTTTACTATAATAAAAAGTATTAATAAAATAAGAAAAAGTGAGGTTAAAACCAACAATTAATTTTAACCTCACTTTTTCTTTAATTTTTTTTTATTGAAAAAAATAAATATAAATAAATTATTAGTCATCCAAAAATTATATCAATAAGCGCTCCCTCTTTTTATCTTATCAAAATGAATGATTAATAACTGACAAATTAAAAGAATTTTGTTATTATTATGACTTTTAAGAAATTTTCGCTTTGATATCTTCCATTTGCAATAAATGTATTATTTATACATATTTCTTTCAATTTTGTTTTAAATTTACCAAAATATTCTCCTTCCTCTTCATGTTTTTCCATTTCCTCTTCGATTTGTCGCGTCATTTCTTCAATTTTCCTTTGTGCTTCGGTAAGTCCTCTTGGTCTCGGGGGAGTAACATTGTATGCCAAAAGACTTTTCCCCCCCATTTTTAATTTACCACTTAAAACACTTGGTGTAGGACTTGCTGATTGAGCTCTTGTGTCTGCTTTATCCATCAATGGTGGAGCAGTAGGTGTTTTTTTAACTTCTTTTGGTGGTAAAGTTGGTGCCCCAGCAATCCCAGTGGTAGGAGCACGCTCATAATTTTTTGCTGATGTTGTTTGAAACTGAGTATTTGTACTTAACGTCTGCGATACATTACCAGTCATACAAACATAATCAGAACCGTTAATTTCTTCTAAAACTTGAGGAGAAAAGTTCGGTTTTTGTTGTTGATAATAAATTGGAGATGATTTGGTTACTTTTGAGTTCATGGGTGAATACATGGGTTGTTGTTGTGTGTAATTTGGTTGGGGGTATGGAGGTGGGGCTTGTCCGGAAGCTACTTGAGGTCCTGGAGTAGCTTTGTGAGTAAATTCATGAATGTTTTCATAAACATGAGGATTCTCTTCTTTGTTAATATGAATTAATTTACTTCCAACAGGGACTTGAGGCTGAGCTTTACTCATATTTTGTGGAATTTGATGGTAATAAGGTGGAGCAGTGGATCTACCAGCGTAATAATCAATGTTTTCATATAACGGTCCTGGATTTATTGCAATACTAGCTCGAGGACTCCCAGAATGATGGGAAGAACCACTATGTGAGTGAGTCGGACTTAACGGTTTCACACACTGAACATAAACATCATTTTCTTCACCTTTTTGTGTCTCAATCTGTTTAATGGTAGCATAATTTTTGTAATTCTCACCATATCCTAACCCTACATTATCAATTGACGTTAATCTTTGTTGATAACCCGTTATATCTTGGTTTTTTACTAAAATCCTACCGTATCTAGGATCGGGCACTTCATTTCTAGATTGATTCAAGTTTATATATTGCATTTTTTGTAAAATACCATCTTCTAATGGTGATTCACTGTGATTGTTAGACATTTTTTCTTTCTTAAATTATATTAGAGCGATAATTTCACAAAAATATTAACGGTAAACTATTAAAATTAATATATTATTACGAAAAACACATTATTTTACTTAAAACCGGATTTCCTTCTATTATGAAAACAATATTTTAGTTGGCCGCGAAGAAAACAATCCACCGCTTTGATAAATGCCGATTGAGGAACTACAAATTACAGGCCCTCTATTGGTGAACAAGAATAATACTTTTCTTGTTAATAAATAATTTAAAAATAAATAACTCTATCTTATAAAGAAGGAAAAATGAGGATATAGATTAAAACTTGTCTAAATAGTGATAAAGTATTTTCAA